GTTCCCTAGAAGAACCCCATTTTACAAACAAGCATGGGATCAACAGCTTTTTTTGCAGGCTACAAAATGTGCTGTGGGCTTGAAACAGATGCCTTGGGTTGTTTGAGGGTAACGACAGTGTGCACACTAAATGCCAGGGCAGATGGACGTGATCCTCCTCTTCCCTAGTGCTTTTGCAAGGCAATGGGAGAAAGAAAGTTTTTTTCCGGACCGGGATGGCAAGGTGCAACCTGCTTGCAGGGGCAGCCAGAGCACTTCAGGCAATTAAAGGACCTTCATCAAAGTCACAGGGATCTCCCAGTCCTCTTCTCCAGTTGCAAGAATTGCACTTTTGTTTAAAAAAAAAAAAAGCGAACAAGTCCTGCTACCGCCTTGCCCTGCCTTTGCAGGGAATTGGCTGGTTCTTAGGCTCACCGCAGTGCTCGAAGTCAATGGCCATCGCTATGTCCTTCATTGCTGAGCTTCAGACCTTGCCCCAATAAAGTCTGCCCAGCGTTTGGTGTAAAAGCTCAACTTCTGGAGCCACCGCTTGCTCTAAGGACAGTTCATCTTCTATGGAGACTACCACAACGCAAGATGCCATCACCCTGTGCTGCCAACGGGCTCTGGTCATGCAGGGTAAAAGAAAGCACTAGCCCTGCTGGGAAACCGGGCAAATTTGGCCTTAATGCTTTTCAGACAAGGAGGATAAATAATGACAAAGAGGATGATGGACACGGTGCCACGTTTGAGAGGAACAGACGGGAAGGTGCCTGGTTGCTGCAGCAACAAGGCCGGGTTTTCGGAAAGATGGGTTTTTCTTTCTCTTTTCACCTGCCAATCTTCCCCCCACGTCAGTGCTCTGCCTCTGCGGGAGATGAGCGGTGACATTTACACTCCCACTGACAAGCTGGTTCGGTGATGGGCAGCTCTGCAGGAGAGCATCTGGTGTCACAGAGCCCGAGCAGAGAGGAGGAGAGGGTCCTCTCAATCGGTTAGCATAATTTGGGACTTTTTATTATGAGCATTATTAGGGCCAGAGCATGCACGGAAACAGCAAGCAAAGCCTCGGTGGGGCATGCAGCGTTTCCCACCCTTCATGTGGGTCGGGTCCTGCAGCTGATGGGAGCAACAAGATGCCTCTCCGGCCTGGAGAACGTCTCTGCATGTCCTGCTGGGAGAGGGAAGGAAATGAAAAGGAAAAGAAAAAGGAGAGGATGAGCAAAGAGTCACGCAACACCACAGGAGCGATTTCACTTCTCATGATAGCAGGCCATGTCACCAGCTGTGCTCCCCCTGTTCGGCGTTCCTCAGTGCCTCATGGAAGCTACCCGTGTCTTTGGCTCCTTGGGAGCAGCCTTGTTACGCTGGCAGAGGTGAAACTCAGGCTGCTCTCTCCTTCCCAGCAGGTTTGCCCACTGCTGTGCCTCACTATGCTTTCCTTTGCCTTCCAGATAAAACAGCTTTCAGTTCACCCAAATTGTTCCAATAATAATAGTAATAGTAGTAATAATAACAACAACAACAATAATAATGCTACTGCAAAATAATGCAAGGAAAATACAACAGCTCTGAAATTAATTGTATAAAATGGTGCGGGAAACTGCTTTGGGTCATCTCCTCTCTCTTACTGGTAGATTTGCTGCTGGCATCAGGAGGAAAGTGGAAATTAGGAATCAGCAGCCTTTCCTGGCTGCCGTACCGCTCTGCCATTGCAGCTGGCTGAGAAGGTGCTCTGCTGGACCAAGCTGGGGCTGGAAATACAAGACTGTTGTGACCAATAGAACTTGAAATTTGTGTATTCCTATGTCCAGCAGAGCCAAGGAAGCCAGGTTTCCTGAGGATCTGTGGCTGCAAGTCAAAGACCCATGTGGAGTCTCTGATGCCTAGTATGGATTGTGCTGATACATTTATTTGAGTGATAGCATTAACAGGTTTTCTCTTCTCTACAGTGTCATTCTTTTTCACAAAGCTTGGAGGTTCCTGATATCTTGGAGATCTCCACCCTTCTGTCAAATCAAGGTGGAAGTATGGGCTGAAAATTGTTAGGAAGACACAAACAAATAGGCTGCTCCACCTCCTTCCCTGTCCCCATCCTTCCCTCTGAGCACAGAGCATGTGTTAATCAGCTACTTTTCATTAAGTAGCTAGGCTAAAAGATTAGGATGTCAAGGAGAGTAGCCCACTTCTAGTGTCTTTTTCCCTCCCTGAAGCTGGTGCAGCCCCTTCAGATTGAATTTGAAGAGGCAAAGTACCTGATGTGTTGCAACCCAGTTTTCTCAGAGTAATTGGTCCGCTTTTATAGATCTTCACTAAAAAACTCCCTACATTTTTCAACTGGTGCTTAAAAGTATACCCAGTAATCTGCAGAGAAGAGATGGCTGAACAAACATACAGTCAAGCCTGGGGGAAAAAATACATGAAGGCAGATTATAAAAGACCAGATAAATAATCCTTCAGATGTGGAAACTGCAGAAATTAAGAGGGTATTTGCAGAAATCTCTCATTACAGAGCACACAGGAAGCATTGGCAAGATTACAAACTGACCAGCGTATGTAGTTATGAACCAAACCTGTCCACCAGCAGTGACTGTCACATCTGCAGTGGTGCAGCACACACAGTGACAGCAGCAAATCTCTTGGCATTGATGTAAATCAGCGAAGCGTGGAAAATGAGATCACTTGTGGAGTTTTTCCCAGCGACCGAAACTTTGCAGGGGTGACCCCTAACCAAACCTCAGCATCTTTCAGCAGAGGGTTCAGGATGGAAAGTTACTCCCCATGGTACGGGAGCCTGCAGTGAGAGCTCCAGCTGGGCAGAGGCTTGGCAGCTCACATGGGCAGTGGGGCCAGATGAAGGTGTAGAAAAAAACATTTTGTTAACATTCTTGACTGGAACCATTTTTTCTTAATATTTTTTTTAAAAAAAAAAAAGTAGTTCTGTTATGGGAGGTTTTTTAAATGCTTTTGTTTTCATGCTTTGTGGGTTAACTTTTTTGCCATCAAACCCTAATACAAGAAAAGGCAGAATCCTGTTGCAAAACGTACTTGCTTGAAAGACAGTGCCGGTGTCAGGCAGACTGCTTTTGAATTGAAACCTTCCATGCTCATGTTGGTGTTTAGTTTTCGACCCTTTCGACATTGCTCCAATATAGTTTTCTGCTTCTTGAATCCTTGCCTTTCCTGAAGAGTGTAGGTTGCTTATTGTAAAACCTGCTAAGCAAAGCAAGTGAATCAATTGCCCTAGAAGGGCAAGGAACAAGCCATGCCACCCACCGGTCCACATGTCCATGGAGTAGCAGAGAACACCAAGAACCATGCAGAGGCTTTGTTACCAACTGCAGACACTTCTACAGGCATAAATACGATTCTTTAACTGTGTGGCTGCATCTCAAATGATCTATATGCAATTTTCCTCCCATATCCAGGGAGCAAGGCTGTCAATGCTGGTCAGACCTTGCTCTCTCCAACAGATTTGCACTGGCCTGTTGGGCTTGCTCCAGGGAATCTGTACCAGAAAATAAGTACTGAGGAGATATTGCAGAGCAGCAACAAGCACAGAGTAGGGGACCTCTGTCTGGTTGCACTATACGGAAAGCGTGTCCTAGAAACAGGAACATTGTACGCGGAGCTGAGCCAAACTTTTGGATCCTGCTACTACCCAGATTATCCTAACACCCAGCTCCACTTGGTCAGCACAAAGGAGAAGGTCTTGAAAGCTGCACCAGGTGACATTGGGGTTAGATGTGGGGACTTGGTTTCCCTAGCAGAGAAATGAGTCTTTCTGAGACTCGCCTCTTCCCCAGAGAGCCGTGACAATTCATTAGGCAATTGTAAAATCAAAATGTAGCTGCTGACTGGGAGTTGCGGTCCATTAATAGCCCTATTTATTGCCAACCAAATAATTAGCTTAGACATGCATCAACGGGTCTTGATTGCATATGAAATAACTGCCTTATTACACAGAAATCAAATGAGTTTCTGAGGACAGCTCAGGTGTCACCTCAACCTCAGTATTGAAGAGGAAAAGAAAAAGGAAAAAACCCAGCCATTTCGATGTGTTGCTCAGCAACAGAATTTGCGGGGGAAACAATCTAGGAATGAAGGAATGAGCATTTCCAAGAGAACAGGTTATTTCAGGCAAGACATCAGGGACAAGCAAATGTCACAGAGACAGAGAACTTTTTTTTTTCTCTCCTTTAATCAATAATTTAAACTAGGCATTTTGGGTGAAATGAGCATTTAAGTTAGCTGATTGAAAAACGGAGATCCCAAACCTTTACAAAGCATCACATTGCTGAAGAAATGTTTGTGTGAGGGAAACATTAGATTTACTAGACACTGAATTAAAAATTGAAAACGCTGTTAGAAATGTCACCTGTTCATTTAAAGAGGAAGATGATGTAATGCGAACATTGCTATCTTGTGCAGCATCCCTCCCGGAGCAATCTCATATTAATTTTGTTGTTCTCCTTCCCACATGCCCTCCCCTCCCTCCCTTCTCCTTTCTCTTCTAGGACAAGACGAGTGCGCTGAGTCTCAGCAATGTGGCGGGGGTTTTCTATATCCTCATCGGTGGGCTCGGACTAGCCATGCTGGTTGCCTTAATCGAGTTTTGTTACAAGTCCAGAAGTGAATCAAAGCGGATGAAGGTGGCAACCCATTCCCCGGCCTTTCACACCTTCTTTCTGATCCTACCCCGGCTCCAAAGCTGCCTTCAGAGACGGATGCAGCCCAGATCATGGGTGGAAAGCCAAGACATAGGGATAACGAAGTGACTGTGTCACTCACCTTGCTAGAAAGGAATAGGAGCATCAGAGGAAGTTAAAAGAGGGCCAAGTGGGCCATAGTGGGGAGCTGATGCAAGATCAGACATGTGGCATAATGCGAGTTCAAAATCGAGATACCGAGTAAAATTGTAGCACAAATGGTAACAGGAACACATTGCCGGGCCTTAAAATTAACGAAAGCAGACTCTGGTAATGCATGTGCAGAACGGATGAGGTGTGCTGGGGTTGGTGTGATACAGCTGTTACTGCAATGTGACAAAAATCCCCAAACCCAAGTGGGTAACAGCGAGATAAAATGGGGTAGTGCAGTAATGAATCAGATCCTGTTGTTCCCTTTGCTGGCACCCTGCTGGCACCGTTTGCAGGTTGGCAACAGTGATATATGCTCAGAGCGTTGTTGCCCTGGAACGGACGATGTGGGTCTCCAAATTCAGGATTAAGGGTCCTCTTAGAGAGAAATTGGCCTCTAATGCCTCCTGTACTGTTCGGGTTTTTTTCTCCACCCTGTCATGGTCTTGCAGAAGCGTACTTCCTATGACCCAGGAGATTTATTTAAACCCTAAATTCTGGTGTGCCTAAATTTCAGAGTATTGTGTCAAGAGTGGATTAGATTTGAGAGCCTTGGGGATGCACATTTAATGTAGCATCTGTGGAACAAGTGCATCTTGACTCAGACGACTAGCAGAGGCGATCCCTTATACAGATACCATTGTGTACAAGGGTGCAGTGGGATCTGCGCTGTAAGATTCTTCCTCATCTTGACCTCTCCTATGAGCATGGAAGTCAGTATGAGTATAGGAAGTATGCAGTGAGTTTCATAAAATTTAGAGAGATTTTCACTTCTCTGAGCACTGAAATTTACCCAGAATCAAAAGGAAAATAAACAGTCATTTCTTTGGGATTTGTGTCACCATTTCACAACATGCTTAATGTTTTGTCAGGAATAGTATTTCTAATTCGCTGAAAATGGGCAACAGCTATTTTCCCATTGAGGTTCAGAAAATTCTACAGGCAATGAGAGGTACATAGAGCATGGGAGGAAGATAATGTGAGCAATTAATGTTCTTGAATATACAAAAATTAAATTGTAATTGCTGTCTACACTGTAAAGCTAGGTATGTCACAAATACACTGCAAAAGAGTGTCAGAATGCAATAGCTCCATAGTTTTGGTCTTAAGGAGATTCTGCTCTGCTGTTGGCTTCCCTGAGTTACTTGAAATGACCCACTAATTCATATCAGTGTTAGCTTGCCATGTCAAAACCAGCCACAATGGGAAGGAATCATTACTCCCAATGTTAACATCTGGTCTAAGCTTGTCCCTTTGGCTGGCTTCCACCATCAGTGGCTGCCCCACAAAGCCATTCAGCAGAGCCCAGGCAAGTGCCCAGAAAGTTGGGCCAGATCCCCCTCTAAACCCAACCTCTGCTCAGCAAGTCCCTACAGACCCCCTGGGCAAGCTGCAGATCCCACCAGCACAGGAGGCTGCTCCGTGCCTGGCAAGGCACTAAGTTGGCTGTTTCTGAATAGCAGTTCCAGATTTACCTGTTCCGGATAATTCTTCACCTGGATATCTCAGTCCAGAATGGACGATGGTGCCCCTAGAAATAGCTTAAATGCGAAGAAACCAAATTGACTTCATCTTTTAGTTTGATTGTTCTAAACAGGTGGTTTCCTTAGATCTCTGAAAGCAAATGTTTTGGACAGTATCTGGAACAGGAAGATGAAATTTGGTTTCCTGAATTAGGTTTGCATTTCCTGGTTACCTCAGTCACCACTGTAGACAAAAACATAGGCACATGCTCAACTTCTCACACGAGGAAAGTTAAACATATGCTTGCAGTGAGTCAGAGTCCACCATACATAACAGTACGGGAGTAGTAATAGCATATCTATGGGGGAAGTGTGTATAATACCTCTGCTCAGATCCAGGATGACTGTTCTTATGTTGTAGAGTTTGAATAGTTTTTGCATATGGCACATACGCTTTATACCCCAAAATACTGCTGAAACATTTAATTTTGAATGTGGAAGAGGTGCGAATTAACAGAGCAGATGCAGTAAGGACCTGCAGAAAGTGAGAGCCTGAATGGAGACAAGGAGGGAGAGAACAGTGACAGAAAGACAACACTGGTTTATATTGTAATTTCTCCAACATTGCTAAGGACAGGGGGAGACCCCCCCGTCCTTCCTAAAAAGGGTTTTTGTTTAATCCCACAGCAATCAATCAACGAAGCCATACGGACATCAACCCTTCCCAGGCCGGCTGCAGCAGGAGGCAGTGGAGAAAACGGACGTGTGGTCAGCCACGATTTCCCCAAATCCATGCAGACGATCCCGTGCATGAGCCACAGCACTGGCATGTCCCTGGGAGCTACGGGATTATAATTGGCCTTTTGACCCATTGCCTGGGTGAGAGCAGGGGCAGCCCAACTCCACCCCCTCCAGAGCCAAAAACAAACCCAACACCAACAAGACAAATGACAATGACAGAAGGGACAATCGGATGGATCTTCTTGAGGAAATCAAATCTATTTCCCTTTTTATTTGCAAACAGATCCGCTGGCAGGAGAACAGAAACAAGTCTGTACTGCAATAAGGAGAGTCTAATGGGATTTAACAAACTCGTGAACCGTCCCTGATCAAAGAACCACTGGAACACTAATGAGAACTATGCCATTTTGTTTTAACTTGTTGTTAATAAGTCTTAGTGTGTGCAATATATATATTTTTTCTTACTAATTCCTGTGGTGTCAGGGTAACATCAGCCCTTTTTCCCTTCCCTGCTCAGTCCTTCAATCTGGTTTAGTTTGGGATGCAAACCATAATGTCTGAGCTACTAACAGCAAAAAAAGAAAATCCGATAAATGACAAGTTGAACTCCCTGCAGGGCATCAGCATTGACCCCTTTTGTCCATCGTGATTCTGCCTTCCGTTGTTCTGTTGTGAACTCGGGCTGTGGAGTTACTGCAACGAGGCAGAGCAAGCTGCAAACAGCTCTCCCTGCAACAGGAAGGACTTGATGCAGGAAAGAACCCGAACAAAAACACAAGGCTGTTTTACAGGGGCAAAGTCATGAGTGAGTTTGGAAACCCCAGGTAACCTGAGGACAAAGTGATAATTCTTCCAGAGATGATGAGTGGCAGTTCAAGAGAAGAATCATGTGTCTGCAGTGGACAGTGTCATGCGTGGCAGACTAGAGCAGATGGTTGGTCTAAGATCATGGTTGGCTGCTGTTTATGGAAGAGAGAAAGTAAATGCCACATTCCCCTCACATGCGACTCTCCTGCCTAGGTTACTGGGGGCTAATAAGCAATTGTGAACCATTTCTTCATTGCTTAGCTTCTGTGTGTGCTCTCTTTTTGGTGGTCACGTAAGGGAACCACCTTGAGCCGGGAATAGACCATCTCAAGACATCCAGTTCTAGATGGCTGCCTATTAACCAGTAAAATACGCTATAAGTCGTGGGGCTGCAATGGGAATATCCCTGCCTTTTTGCTCTGAAATCCCTTTATGGCCATTTTTCTAAGTAAGGGGGACGTTTTGTAGATAGTTGGCCAGAATGGCTTCCTGGAAGGAACTGCTGAAGCATACAAAGGAGGAGACCCTACAAGAGCTTCATTCAAGTGTCCATAGCATTCAACAGCATCAGGGCTGGTCAAACTCAGCCTTCCTGTCAAGTTGTGGCCTATCTGGGTACAAATCCAAAAGTAGCAAATTCCCACTCGTGTATCCTTAGGGAGGGGGAAGCATCCACAAGCCAGGAGAGCAGGTTGCTGACCCCAAACTCGGTGTTGCAGAAACCCATGCTGCCAGACAGGCAGCTGGGAGTCCAGCCACAGGCGTGGAGATCAAAGGGGCAAGGGTGGTTTTCCAGAACCATACAAAAGGTTTGTTCTGTGAATCACTGGCATGGACAGATAAATGCTTCTCACCCTGGTGGGCCTGAGACACCTCCCCAGAAGTGGAAGATTCCCAGGGGAGCATCAGGAGAGAGAGAAGATCTGTGGGGCAGAGACCACAGTGAACCCACTTAGCCTTGTCCCATCCCACAGGTCCATCACTGATGGCAAACAAAGTTCAAAACTTCTCACAGGACCCAGCAAATGTCTGGCAGGGGACTGAGCTGCGATTTGAGTGTTCTGAGACGATTTTTCTCCTTTTTTTTTTTTTCCTTTTTTCTTTTTTTTTTTTTTTCTGCAACGTAGCAAGAGAGGAGCAGGAAAAGAAGGGAGGCAGGTGAAGAGAAAGTGATGCAGGCAAATGACTGGCACAGGTTTATGAGAAGGATCTGTCTATGCAGCTGTCCATAAGTACAGCTGGAAGCTGCCTGAATACCAGTTTCCATTAGTGTACAAATGTGCAGAGCAATATGTTTACCACCTTTAACACCAGCCTGGTCTGAAGTATCTGTTCCATTTACCCACTTGTCGTGCAACACTCTGGAGACCAGCAAGTCAGCGTCAAGGTCCTAAGCTTGGGCACAGCATGTCTTGTGTCAATATGTTTTCCTCTCTCCACCACTGGAAACCGCTGTGATCTTCATCTCTCGTCACTGAACATGAACTCTGTTATCAGCCACTCCAAACACCTCTTCAGGTCACTTTATGTTGGTTATCATTATTTTTAATCCATTTTTTCTTAATTTTATCTTCAGTTCTGAGTAAGTGCTAGCACAGGGGAGGCATCCCACAAGCTAGCCTGTTTCCATGCCCAGAGCCCTCGGATGCATCTCCTGACCCAGCTCTTGCTGCATCCTGGACCTTGCCATGGCAGTGAACCGCCGGGTGCTGCGGTGGGAAAAGGCTGCCAAGACCCATCGGTGCCCCATCCTCCTCCAAAAACAGGACCACATGGCAGCAGGTCATGGGGAGCCTGACCGGGCAGTTAGACGATCTTGTGAGAAGCAGTGCATCTGTGCTAGGACTGGCCGCCTGTGACGTGAAGATGTGAGATGTAGTTTTCAAAGGCTTTTGATCAGTGGAGGGGTTAAAAAAAAAAAATGAATAGGACAAAAGCGTGGAAAATGTTAACTTGTAATATGTATTTTTACTACACTTTTCTTAAAAATAGAGTAATGGTAAAACTGTTAAAGACATTGACATTTTTTCTCAACAGGAATCCATATTTAACAGTTTTGGCTTTCATTAAATTTTGCTCTTTGGTACCTGGATCTTTTATTTAACAGCTATATTTGTTTTAACTCTCTTCTGTTTATTCTTTCTTTTTTTTTTTCTTTTGGCAGTACTGCAAAGGATTTTGCTTTATCAAATGCAACAGTGTTTTTCTTTTCACATTCTCTTTTTTTCAAGCAACATTTTTATTGGTAATTATTATTTACACAAAAATGAAACTATCAGCTGCAATTTTAGCACCAAGGATCCATGATCTATTTTTCATACCTGTCCATGCCGTTTTGTGCCAGTGCTGGATGTGTGGAAATGAAAATGATGTTACCCCTCAGGCAATAGTAGCCAACCTGAATCAAACGAGATTTCCATGATTATTGCTGTGTCTGACTTGTGAACAGCAGCCCAATAAACTGCTTCAGGTTGAAATTGGGAATCTATCTAATATTTACCCAAGAGTCAGGAAACTAAACATTCATTGGGTTCAAAGTTAATGACTTTGCTTTGTTTGGAGTTTTGTGGGGTTATTTTTTGAGGAGGGCTATTAGAGGATTTTAGCTTGTTTATACAGAGAGAAGACATGGTCAGCTCAGAGATAATTCAGAACCAGCACTGGTCCAAAAATCCTCACCAGGATCAGCTTTCCTAGGAGCTCCCATGCTGTTTCAGAGGCTTGGACATTTAAGATATTTCTCACTGAGTTTTCACACAATTAACCTGCTAAATTCCTCATCCAAAGGTCTGTTGAAGGGGGAAAGAGACTGGGATTTAAAGGGCCTTGGACATTTATGCAGATCCTGACAGCTGCCGAGGTTAACTATAATCATTAATATCATGCTCTTACGAAGCACTTGGGGTCACAGATCTGGAAGGACTTCCCTTCCCCATATCGTCATTCCCATTTATCGTCTGGGGAAGCCGAGACACGAAAGTGCCTTGGACCAGGCATCCCAGCTCACCCCACAGGGTCATGGTTATAGATTCAAGGTCTCCAGCATTCACAAGGGGTTTTTATACCCACTGGTAAGTTTTAAAGATGGAGTCAGCAAGAGGCAGAATTAATACATTTTGAAAGGGGTGAACCCTCAGACTTCAAAGCACAACAGACTCCCAATCAATGGGGCCTGAAGGACAGGTTTCCCATGGGCAGGCTATGCTGGATCAGCCCATTTTGGTCTTCCACAATTGCTTAGGCATCCAGTACTGTACTGTCGGCTTGGATCCTGCCTCAAAACACTCTTCTCACTCAGTGGTTCGCTCTCGGTTCCCAGTGAGGTTGGAGAAATGCACAAGAAATGTTTCTTTATATCTTGGCATAAACAGGACAAAATTCCCTCCTAGTGGCAAAAGCAAATATTCTTTGTAAGAAAGTCTCTGGCAAGAATCCAAAACCATCTTCACCAGTTGTTGAAACAAAAAAACACCAAAGCTTGTAGTGCAGCAGGTGAGGAACGAGTGCATCACCCAGTCCATCTTGTTGCTATGGGATGATAACTCTGGAATCAGGACACAAAGCTGGGATGCTCCAGAAAGATTTGGCTGGACTTGTTTGTCCACCTACCGTCAAATGCAGGGAGAACTTACTCATCTAAGCTCAGTGAAGGGATGGGGCAGAGGTGCATCAATGTTTGCTGTAACCCAGTGGGTACCACTAACCTGTTCAGCTCTGGCAACTCAGCCACATATCTCCATCAAGAGTTTTGGGAGATGTGGAAAGTTTGCACTGTGAACACAGGCTCATGCTCAGTTTTCAATGATGTGATCAGTCACGCAAGCCTTACGCATGGCTCTGAGTCCCCAGGAGAACATTTCTGTGCACATTTCTAACATGTCGGTCCATCATGGAGGCATGTGTCAGAGCTTAGATGACACAGCACAGTGGTGTATGGTACCTTAGGACACTGTTGGTACTCTTCACTGCCATGGCATAAGAAATAACAGCACAGATGGGGACTTAGCTAGTGGAGATTGGTCTGAAGCACCACCTTGGGGACTGGAGGAGATGGGTTCAGGCAATTCCCAGCAGCAAAGGTACCAGATTAATTCCAAATACCTTTTAGGGACCTGTGTGGCCTGTTCTCTGATTGCTTTTGTAGCTGCTGACCTCTCTTAAACACAGCTTCCCCAGTTGCCTTCGTGTTACCTATGGGCGCAAACCAATTTGTCATCCACCAGTGCTGGTTTTGTGTCTTGGCAGTCCCCTGCTGGCTGAAGCCCCTTTGCTTGCATCTCTGCTACCCAGATAATTAATTGATGAGCAGAAATACAAGGATGTCACTGTGCCATGCACAGCTGCCCACCAGCCCGCAGGAGGGCAGGGCTTTTGGGGCAAAATCCACATGCAAACCCCAGCTCAAAAGATGCAAGACAGTGCCAGACAAAACTGCTTGGGCTTCACGTTGCTCCAGCTTCATTACAAAGATGACACCCCTCCCAGCTTCCTTCTTACACAGAGCTGCTCTGTTCTTTTCCAGGCACTTGGTCCTGATGGTTTGAGTGTATAAGAGGGATGAATTTAGTGTGCAAGGACCTGGAAAAGGTTCCTCTAGGCATGGAGGGGGTAGCTTGAGACTGATCTCTCAGACAAAATCCTGACCATTCCC